CATTTGTTAATTTAGTTGTACCTCATCCAAATTTATACCTTTCTGAAATCTGACCACCAGGCATATGGCTTTAGTAGAATTAAGATCTCTACCAACTCCGTGCTTGAGAAGTGTACCTTATACTTCTGAATACTAATGAAAGAAAAGTAAAAACTTACCATAAGCTAGCTCCAAAGACTGGGAAAACCAACTGCATCACAAACACATGGTTAAGTCCTGGTGAATCAATACATAATAACATCAATGCCCATTAGGGGGGGGGGGGGGGGATAAAGAACATGAACGGGTGGGGGCTGGGGTTGTGGCTCAGTGGTAGAGCACCTGCCTAGCATGTGTGAGGCACTCAGTTCAATTCTCAGCACCACATAAAATTAAAAGAATAAAATAAAGGTCCAGCAACTTAAAATATGTGTGTGTGTGTGTGTGTGTGTGTGTGTGTGTGTGTGTGTATTTTCAGAGAAAATACAAATTACCATAAAGACAGTAATGATAATTAATTCCTCCATAATTAAAACAACTTAATTCTCCCCTATTAGCTTGGCAAAGGCCAGGTTGATAATATCTTCTATCTGCTTAGGGTACAAGGAAGCCAACATCAGCATTATTGGTAAAAGCAAAGAAGTTAATATGAATCTTATAAAAAAAACTTAACTTTTACATTTTCAAAGAATATTCTTTGATCAAGTCCTTTTCTATTAATTCCATCCTACATCAAGACAAACCTACAAAAACATACAACACTATCTGTAATAAAGAGAAATACAAGCATAACTCACATGTCAACTAACGAGAGGTGTTTTTTTTCTTTTATTGGTACCAGGGATTGAGTCCAGGGGGGCTTTACCACTGAGCCATATCCCAAGCACCACCAACCACCTATTTTAATATTTTTAGTTGTAGATGGACACTTTTTTAATGTGGTGCTGAGGATTGAATCCAGTGCCTCACACGTGCTAGGCAAGCACTTTACCACTGAGCTACAGCCCCAGCCCCCAAGCCCTTTTTAATATTTTATTTAGAGGGCAGGGTTGCCGAGGCTGGCTTGAGTTGCTGGGATTAGAGGCATGCACCACCACACTCAGCCAGCCGGGAGATTTAACTAAGCTGTACAATGAAGCCTTTCAGAATAACATGTACTTATTCTGAAAGGTTTCTAAAAGCAAGTCGTACATCAGTATGTAATGACGCTAGTGGGAGTTACATTATACCACTATTCTATTAGGAGTAAACACCTATACAACATTGGGCTAACAAAGTGTGTATATCAATTTAATTAATCTATTTTACCCACACCCTACTGAAGGATATCCTGCAAGGTTATGAATACAACTTTTCCAGTGTTATTAAAGAATACATGACATTTGTGCAGAACTTACACAAGGCAGTCATATATATTACCCTGAGACTCAATGGGCTGACAGACCTTAGTCTGAAGTCATCTTGATCTAAATGAAGTCAAATGGAGCAGTACCATCTGACAATAAGTTAATGGAAGATGGAGAGGCCATGGAGTTGAAAATTTAACTTCATAAAGTAAACACCTCACATAAACATGTGACTGRCCATTTCCAAACTGCTGAGGCAAGAATAGCCATGCCCAGTGGTCATAGACCCTTGTCAACCTCAAGCTAGGTATCACCACTCACTGGTCCTGTGCTGCTACCACACCATTCAAGACACCAGCCCTTTTCATTTTCTTTTGAGTAATGACCAAATTCAGGGGTTTACTAGGCTTAAAAAGATTATTATACCCATCTCTTCACAAAAAATGGGAAGGACAGAGTGGTGGTGTGAGTCAGAAGTCACTGTTCAATCCTGCTTCAGCGGGCCAGTGGCATTCATAGCCATTTGACATATGTCAATGTTTCTTCCTTTTTCATCCCCCAAAAGATAACATATGTAAATTACACCAGGATCTTCATTTACACCACTATGTGAAGCTCTTTTGCATGCCTGTTGTTCTGGTTCTGTCTCTTAAAGAATCCCCTCCTCACGCCCAAATAAAATGGAAAAATTATAGTTGAATGCATCACTATTACTCAATCACTTTAGGATCAAAAGCTTGAATAGTTATTGGATAATGGGAGACTGAGCAACTCATCCTCTCTATGCCTCTTCTCTATTAAGTAAAGACTGGTAACTAGAGTCTGGGGAGATCAAAATGAAACATAAAATACTTCACTAGCACAAACCATGTGTTTAGTAAACTTCTGTTAAGAGTACTACACTAGATAAGGTTATTTTCAGGGACACTCATCAATTAAACAATATTATAAATAAGTCAAAAGGAAAAAACAACTACTAATTTTTTGCACAATATTTATATTTTACTATAAAAATACACTGCCTGATTCTGCGTTCTGACAGTATTTAACCAATATGACAATAACCTATGAAATACTGCTCCTATCACATGGAATAACTATTTCCATAGACACACATCTTTCCCACTGTAAGAGACTACAAGYAATATCTTTTATAGAAGACAGTTCTAGATAACACCTGCTCCATGCAATTTTACTACTTTTCCTATCCTCTGGCTCTAGAAACAGACTGAACTGGAGAAACACACAGGCAATGGTTAAGTATGAGTGTGCACTGTTTAGAAACAATTACTGACAAACACTAACAGACGTACAGGCCAAGCCCCTTTTCCCTTGCTTGAGAATATCAATGCTGCTGCTGAACTATGTTAGAAATCTCAATAACTTTGCTTCTAAAATCTTTCAATGGAAAAAGATTAATTTTTCACCTGGTAAGAAACTTCAACATACTGGTTTGTTTCCAATATTAATTTTATGGGGAAACAAACTTTCAATTGTTTCTACATGTAACTACAGTAATATCACTTTTGGGGGAAAAAAGGAGGTTTCTGCTTTTGAGACAGGGTCTCTCACTAAATGCTTAGGCAGTCTTCAAACTCAGGAACATCCTCAGCTTCCTGAGTAGCTGGGATTAGACAGGCAACACCATACCAAGTCAAGGAGGTTATTTGAATGGACAGAAAAATGTGTCTTTTTTCATGCATTAGTACAGGGGCTGGCAAACTGTAGGCCATGGAGAGCTGATTGTTTCTGCGAAGTTTTATTCCAACACAGCCTAGTCTCTTATTTATAATGTCAATGACAGCTTTCATTCAACAAAGTTGAGGAGTAACTGTAACAAACAAAATATGTGGCTCTAAAAGCCTAAAATAGGGGCTGGGGATGTGGCTCAAGTGGTAGCGCAGCGCTCGCCTGGCATGCTTTCGGCCCAGGTTCGATCCTCAGCACCACATACAAACAAAGATGTTGTGTCCGCCGATAACTGAAAAATAAACATTAAAAAAAAAATTCCCTCTCTCTTAAAAAAAATTTTTCTTAAAAAAGCCTAAAATATATATCTGGATATTTAAGAAAAAGTTTTCCAAGTCTTGCATTGAAATCTGACAATTCTATACTAGGTAAAACTTCATTTAAAAGCAAACTCAAGGGGCTGGGGTTGTGGTTCAGCGGTAGAGCGCTCGCCTAGTATGTGTGAGGCCCTGGGTTCGATCCTCAGCACCACATAAAAATACATAAAATAAAGGTATTATGTCCAACTACAACTAAAAAAATAAATATTTTTTAAAAAATAAAAGCAAACTCAAAACACAAAAATACAAATGACATGCTTGCTCTGATTCAGGCACTTTCAAGATCATAGTTTATTTATTATTTCAGATAAAAAGATAGTATACATATTAGGGAATCCCTTAAAATTCAACTCTAGAATTATACACCATCTAGTACTTTTGCAATGAATGTTAACCAAAGAAATTCCTAAACACCTGAAAGCCCCACTATTAACATGAACTATAGTAATAAAAAATTGACATTTAATTTGTTCAATGTGTAGTATTTACATTATGAAACCAATGGTGGTATGATAAACAGTGATAAAGAAATAGTAAAAATAAACTTTAAAAGCAAAGATT